TTTTTTGAGACTCTCACTCTGTTGCCCCAGGTAGAGTGCAATGGTGTGATTATAGCTCACTGCAACCTCAAACTCCTGGGCTCAAGCTATCCTCCTGTCTCAGCCTCCTGAGTGGTTGGGACTGCACACATGTGCCATGATACCTGGCTAATTTTTTCTATTTTTGGTAGAGATGGGGTCTTTCTCTTGTTCAGGCTGGTCTCAAACTCCTGAGCTCAAGCCATTCTCCCACCCCAGCTTCCCAGAGTGCTAAGATTATAGGCATGAGCCACTGTGCCCAGCCAAGCAAGTCAGCTTAACCTAAATTTTTCTGTTTTCATCTGGTTATTCTGGTACCATAGACTTACATATTGTTGAACTTTTGACTTTTTATTCTGTTTGAATATTCCATTATGATGTATTTATTTTTCTGGCTACTTAGCATTAGTAAATAACACATGAGTCAACTTATGTTTGTATTTATTTACATTCAGCATGGCAGAAAAACCCAGCTTCTTCATGTTTTTCAAGAAGACTTCATTTTGAATAACTCTGAAAAGAAAAGTCTAGGAAAAGACAGCATTTTATCTAATGCAGGTAAAGAAGAATGTTTTACGTAGTGAGAAATACTATGTATAATATCTTAGGCAATTAATAAAGATGAATTGATTCAATATTTCATATTGTTTATTTGAAGTTAAAATTTTTCTTTGTAGGTTTGTGATATTATTTATCAATAATACTGGTATCTTTATTCTTAACCAGGAAATAAACATGAAAAATTAAAGGGGTTTATCAGTTATATGTTTTATAAACCACCTGGTAGAAATGCTTCATTAATGTGTGAGTGCTTTTTTCATGGTTGGGGTCCTATCAATTTGGATAATATGGACTCCTGGCCTTTTAGGAACTTAAAATTTGAAGAAATACCTTAAAACTTTGAGTTATAAGGTCCTTAATTTAAAGACTAAGTTTCTTAAATAATACTTTTATAATAAAACAGCTTAAAAATTTTTATTAAACCTAACATTAACTGTTACTTTCTGTAAAAGAAAACTGAGGAAAATAGAGATGAAATATCTTGGTCATCAGTCTCAATTACAAAGCCAGACCAAACTAAAAAATGGCTTTCCTGAAGACCAAAATCTTGTGAAGCAACTATACGTTATATGCCTGTTGCATAAAGTCAGTTATCAAGCCTCAAATGATATTAACTGCATTCTCTATTTGTTCCAGATATTTCTTACTTCCTCCCTCCCTGCCTCCCTCCTTCCTCCTTCCTTCCTTCCCTTCTTCCGTTTCTTTCTTTCCTTTCTCTCAAGCCTTGCTCTGTTGACCAGGCTGAAGTGCAGTGGCATGATCATAGCCTCCCAAGTAGCCAGTAGCTGGTACCACAGATATGAATCACAACACTCAGCTAATTTTTAAATTTTTTGCAGAGATAGAGTCCCGCTATATTGCCCAGGCTGGAGCACAGTGCCACAATAATAGCTTACTGCAACCCTGAACTCTTGGGCTCAAGCGATCCTCCCACCTCAGCCTCCTGAGTAGCTGGGATTACAGGCGTGGACCATCACAACTGGCTAATTTTTTCTATTTTCAGTAGAAACGGGATCTCACTCTTGCTCAGGCTGGTCTCAAACTCCTGACCTCAAGCAATCCTCCCACCTCAGCCTCCCAGAGTGCTAGGATTACAGACATGAGCCACCATGGCCAGCCAAGCCATATAATTTTGTACATAATGATGGCCATATAATTTTGTACATAATGAAGAATAGCTTATAGTGAAGAAAACCTGTTTTACAGAGTTTGAATTTTTTTTTTTTTGAAAAGAAAAATAATGAAGAAAACTTGGATTAAAATCTGTTGTAAAGAAAGGGTTTTTTTCAGGCAATAATAAACCACTGATTTTATGATATATTTTAGAAAGATGCATTTATTTGTTTACTTTGAGCAACTTGTATGCTGTTTAAACTGAAAGTTGAACTAAGGGAAATTTCTTGAATTATATGTTATGTAATGAATACTTATATTTTCGTCATTATATAAACATCATGCAGCAATCATTCCATCATGGAGTTATGGAGCTTACTTATTTCAAAAATTGTAACACCATTTTCATCCTATTTTGACCTAAAGTATATATCCTGTCTGTTTAGAAATTTCCCACTTCATATGGCCTAATCTATGTGAACAGTTTGATGGCGATGAGTGTGATACATGACTTTTTGAGCCTATCAGTTTAAAAATAAAATTTATGTACAGCATTCTTATTATTGTAAATATTTTAAGTTTATACAAATTCATGTGGTAAAGAAGTTGAATATATTCTATAATGCCACTTTATATTTGAAAACTTAAGTAAAATTTTTTAGTTTTTTTTAAATCTTGTTACTTTAACTTGGTATATATAGTAAGTTGTCTCATTTTTCCATGTTAATAGTGAAAAATGTCGTTAATACCAACAGGCAGCTCACCTAATGGATTTTCTGAAAAGTTCTATCTAATTGTAATAGAGTGCACTCAAGACAACCGTTCACTGTTACACATGTGGAATTTACATTTAAAGTCAATTCCTGTCTCATTGGGTGAGTCTTTTTTCAAATTATACGTGATTAAACAGTTTAGAGTATAATATTTCTTAAAGCCACTCTTATTTAGGGTTGATAATTATAGTTTATTCAGTTAATTAAAAAAGCAAAATGGTTTTCTCATTTTCTTGTTTAAAGAATCATATTAATATGTTTACTATTTTTAATAAGGCAGTTGTAGATTGTAAATGTAGTAACTGTAATATTTATAGGGTTCCCCTACCCCAGTTTTTGGTTCTTTTCTTATGTTTTATAGATGAAAAAGTAGATACAAAAACATCTGAAGCAGTTTGGCAGCCGGAAGAACATTCTTCTTCTTCTCCAGAGAAGATCCTATCTCCTTTTTCACAGAAGTATCAGGCTTGCAGAGCAAATCTCCAGAGTACCAGCAGGTTGACTCTGTTTTCAGAAATAGTTTATAGCCAAGAGTTGCATTTGCCAGAAGGAGTTGAGATAATAAGTATTAAGCCATCAGCAGGTTCGTAAATTTTATGAAAAAAGACTTAACTCTGTAACCCATGAGTATTTACCAGGTATTTAAAAATAGGTGCTGCAACTACTTCTTAAATCCATACAGAACCAGAAATGGAAATAATATATTCAAGTACCCGAAATTGAAGAGTTAAATTTTCTCATTGTTTTCAGATTACTCCGACGTTTGTCAGCCAGTTCTAGTCTTAAATAGTGATTTCTAAAACAAATTTTCATTGCCCTTTCAGGAAGAAAAAGTGAAAGTTTCTAGAGCAGAGGTTGTAACTGACTTGTACCTTATTTGCAAACTTTGATGGTCTTGGTAGTAGCTGCCTGGAGTCATGCACTAAGAAAGATTCTGAGTGTGTAGTTCCTGCCATATATTTAGCATCCTTATTTTAGGGCAGCAGTTTTCAAAATGTCCCCAGGCCAACAGCATCAGCATCCTAGGGACTTGTTAGAAATGAAAATACTTGAGCCGCCCAGTTACTGAATCTTAAACTCTGGGATGGAGCCCAGTGCCTGGTCTAACAAGCCTTCCAGATGATTCTCATGCACACAGAAGGTCAAGAACCACTGCTCTAAGGTATCAAGAATACCAAGACATTGGCCCTGAATCAAGGCCAGCAGTTCGCTGAAGCTGTTGGTTTCAAACAGGAGCCTAAAGAATTATCTTTCTATGGTCTGTTGGCCATTTCAGAACTTTGGAAATGTAATGGTCAATTCATTAGAAAGAAACATCTGAGTCATTGGCAATAGATGTAGTCTTAATACCGGGGTTCTGAAATATCCATGAAATATTTATATTTATCTCGAGATCCCTGATTTTAAGTTATTCATTAGAATTGTAATGTTGTTAAATCTTAATTGTAATCCCCCAAAATTACTGTGCGTTTTCAACCAAAATAAAAGGATGATTCTACACTATGAAAAAAAAAAAAAGAATACCAAGACAAATTCATCTTTTTCATCATCTAATTCTTTCAGTTTCATAGTTAAAGTGTAGGTCTTTGCTCTTTTCTACTTCTTTTTCTTTTTTTTGACTGATTATTTTGAATGTTTTTCAGTTTATCATGTTTTCAAATACTCAATGTTTTCTGAATGGTGAAGTTTGCAGGAGTTGGGGGTATTAACTTTTACATTCTGCTTTTTTTTTTTTTGGTATATTTTAATTTTAAAAGATCAGTGCAAGGAAAATTAAGGTTTGAAAAAAAAATGACTTTTGTATTGACAGAATTTAAAGAGCTGCTATCATTAGCCCTAATGGTATGCTCTTCATTACTGAACTCCAATTAAAATAATATGGCAAATATAGAGACGCTGAAGCTATTTATTAAGGTAAATCTCCTATTAATCTTTGGCCAAAGTTATTTGATAGAAGAAAAGTTCTGTGGAAAAGAAGAGATTTGTTTTGTTTGGCAAAAAGAGTTAGCATATGGTGAAAGCTTTTTTCCTAGTCTTATGAATTTTTCTTATCAATACTATTGGAAACGATAAGATCTTTATTCTCCGTTCAGCTCAGAGAAACTAATGGTTAATGTTAATTGTGTCCTTTTATAATATTTCTAGATTCCTTGAGGGATTTTTAAAAAACCTTACTACAAATATGGTAAAATATGATAAAATACGATAAATGTCTTATATAACATCTCTATATTATAATTAGCAGTTTATGTTTAATAGTTTAGGATATGGGTCAACAAACTATGGGTCACCTATTTGTTTACTGGTATGTATAACTGTTTTTGCTCTGCAGTGACAGAGCTGCATAGTTGCAACAGAGACTATGGTAAGCAAAGCCTAAAAGAGTCATTACTATGCGGCTCTTTAAGAAAAAGTTTGCTGTAATCCTAGCACTGTGGGAGGCCGAGGCGAGTGGATAGCTCAAGGTCAGGAGTTCGAGACCAGCCTGAGCGAGACCCCGTCTCTACTAAAAATAGAAAGAAATTATCTGGAAAACTAAAAATATATATAGAAAAAATTAGCCGGGCATGGTGGCACATGCCTGTAGTCCCAGCTACTCAGGAGGCTGAGGCAGGAGGATGGCTTGAGCCCAGGAGTTTGAGGTTGGTGTGAGCTAGGCTGACGCCACGGCACTCACTCTAGCTAGGGCACTAGAGCCAGACTCTGTCTCAAAAAGAAAAAGTTTGCCAACTCCTGTTTTAGGAATCTTAATATGATTACTTTAATCCTAAGCAAATGTTAAGTTATACTTAGGAATCTTCTCAGCATCAGTTATGTCAAATATACCTCAATCATGAATGGCCCTGAAAAGTGACCATGTAGTATGTAGGTAAGCAAAGCCATTCATATTTATGTTGAAAAATATGAAGGAGAAGCAGCCAGTGAAAGTTGACAAATGTTTTAAAATATATTGATAATTTTAAAATGAGATTTATAATAATGTGTAAAACTAGCAGGGTTGTGAAACTGGGCCAGGCACGGTGACTCATGCCTATAACCCCAGCTCTTTAGGAGGCTGAAGTGGGAGGAGTGCTTGAGGCCAGGAGTTCAAGGCCAGCCTGGGCAACATGGCAAGACCCCTTCTCTACAAAAAATTAAAAAAAAAAAAAAAGAATTGGCCAGGCATGGTGGTGCATACCTGTAGTCCTAGCTACTCTAAAGGCTGAGGCAGTAGGATTGCTTGAGCCCAGGAGTCTGAGGTTGTAGTGAGCTGTACCACTGCACTCTAGCCTGGATGACAGAGGGAGACCCTGTCTCTAAAATAGGATGGAATAGTTGTAAATCGAATGCTGGATTGAGAATCAGGACTAGAGTTTAGGTTTTTAAATTTGGCCTTTGTCTGGTTGTTTGATTTAGACATAAGATACTTAACATGTTTGGTCAAAAGACCTTACCTAGGCCGGGTGCAGTGGCTCACGCCTGTAATCCTAGCTCTCTGGAAGGCCGAGGCGGGCGGATTGTTTGAGCTCAGGAGTTCAAAACCAGCATGAGCAAGAATGAGACCCTATCTCTACTAAAAATAGAAAGAAATTAATCAGACAACTAAAAATACATAGAAAAAATCAGCCGGGCATGGTGGTACATACCTGTAGTCCTAGCTACTCTAAAGGCTGAGGCAGAAGGATCGCTTGAGCCCAGGAGTTTGAGGTTGCTGTGAGCTAGGATGATGCCACAGCACTCTAGCCTGGGCAACACAGTGAGACTGTCTCAAAAAAAAAAAAAAAAAAAAAGACCTTACCTGTAAAATACAGGAATTGAAGTGCATTATTTCAGAGTTCCCTTTCAACTCTAGGTTTTGGTGATATTTTCTTTTTGTATACCTTTTTATTGTCATTAAAAGCCTCTTACTATTTTTGTCAACACTTTAGGTAAGTATAGACTGTCATATTCTTAACAGTAGTTCATACAAAAGGACGAAAACCTTTAGTTCATAAAAACAGAAGTATTTAGCCAAATTTGACATTTTGTTAATGGATTACTTTCATTTTAGGACATCTGAGTTCTTCTTCCATATATCCTGTGTGCAGTGCTCCTTATTTGTTGGCAACTTCATGTTCAGATGAGAAAGTAAGATTCTGGAGATGCAGAGTAGCAAATGGAGAATCTGCCACATCAAAGAATGGAAAAATGGATCTTGCATACATTTGGGAAGAATGGCCATTACTTATTGAAGATGGACTTCAGAGCAATAGTAGTATAACTGTACCTGGTAGGCCTATAGAGGTTAGCTGTGCACATACAAATCGTTTAGCAGTAGCTTACAAGCAGCCTGCATCTAATAGTAGATCTTCTCAGGACTTTGTGATGCATGTAAGTATTTTTGAATGTGAGTCTACAGGAGGCTCATATTGGGTCCTTGAACAGACAATTCATTTAGATGAGTTAAGCACAGTGTTGGATTCTGGCATTAGTATTGATAGCAATTTAGTGGCCTATAATAAACAAGAGATGTATTTGTCCAGTAAAGAGAGTATCACATCAAACACAAAGCATTTAGTTCACTTAGATTGGATGTCTAGAGAAGATGGATCTCATATCCTGACTGTAGGAATTGGATCAAAGCTTTTTATGTATGGACCCCTGGCTGGAAAGGTACAAGAACAGACTGGTAAGGAAAGCCTGACATTTCCTCTTTGGGAGAGTACTAAAGTCGTGCCCCTTTCTAAATTTGTACTGTTACGAAGTGTGGACTTGGTATCTTCTGTAGAAGGCTCCCCACCTTTTCCTGTTTCTTTATCATGGGTCCGGGATGGCATCCTTGTGGTAGGAATGGATTGTGAAATGCATGTATATTCCCAATGGCAGCCTTCTACTAAACAAGAACCTGTCATAACAGATTCATACAATGGGAGCACACCATCCATAATAAGTTTAATAAAACAGAGTAACTCATCAAGTGCTGGGTTACCTCCTCCAAAGAAAACCCTGACTCGGTCCATGACCAGTCTTGCCCAGAAAATCTGTGGAAAGAAAACTGCATTCGATCCTTCAGTGGATATGGAAGATTCAGGTCTTTTTGAAGCAGCTCATGTACTTTCCCCAACTTTACCTCAGTACCATCCCTTGCAGCTTTTGGAACTAATGGATCTCGGCAAAGTTCGGAGAGCAAAGGCCATCTTGTCACATCTTGTCAAGTGCATTGCTGGGGAAGTTGTGGCTCTGAATGACCCTGAATCTAATCATGAACGCCGTCTTAGGTCTCTCACCATCAGTGCTAGTGGAAGCACTACCAGAGACCCCCAGACATTCAACAAGGCTGAAAATATAGATTACACAGAAATAGATTCTGTCCCTCCACTTCCTCTATACGCCTTACTTGCAGCAGATGATGATAGCTATTACTCATCTTTGGAGAAATCCAGTAATGAAAGTACCTTAAATAAATCAAATCAATTATCAAAAGAAAGTTATGATGAGCTGTTTCAAGCCTCAACTCTAATGACTGATACTCATGTGTTAGAGACAGATGAAGAAAATACAAAGCCTAGAGTTATTGACCTTTCACAATACAGTCCAACTTACTTTGGTCCTGAGCATGCTCAGGTTCTTTCTGGCCACTTACTTCATTCTAGTTTACCTGGACTCAGCCGGATGGAACAAATGTCTTTGATGGCCTTAGCAGATACAATTGCAACTACAAGCACTGACATTGGAGAAAGCAGAGACAGAAGCCAAGGTAAGCTAAAGTCTATACTTGTGATAACATTTTTACTTATTTTCACAGAAAATAATCTTAAATAATTTTTTATAAAAACGATGCCAAGGTTTTTTTTTTGAAACATCTTTGCTGCCTTCACAACAGTTTTAATTTTAATATATGCTATTTATCCCATAAATCATAATATTATGAGGAAATTCACAAAGACCATTATGCCTGTCATTTTTGCTAATTGCTTAATGACATAAAAGATCCAACTGAATCTTTTTGAGTTTAGCAAAAGTTAAACAGTTATTTTAGGCTGGGTGCAGTTGCTCATGCCTGCAATACTAGCATTCTGGGAGGCCAAAGTGGGAGGATCAGTTCAGCTCAGGAGTTCAAGACCAGCCTGAGCAAGAGGAAACCCCATCTCTAAAAAAAAAAACCTTAGCCGGGCATGGTGGTGTAAGCCTGTAGCCCCAGCTACTCAGGAGGCTGAGGCAGGAGGATCGCTTGAGCCCAGGAGTTTGAGGTTGCAGTGAGTTATAATCATGCCACTGTACTCTAGCCC